TTGGAGAGGGGATGAGGTCAATGATGTGGAAGGCTACAAGCATTCTGCTTATGACAGAGGATCGGTCTGCGGGCCGTTTAATTCTCAAATGCCCGTGGCACGTTGTTCGCGAGTGTTGCCGACCGGTCCTACTCTAGAATTGTGGGCTTTTAATTCCACCCTCTCCTTGACACATATTGGGCGACCATTGTTGACCAAGATTTCGCATACCTCACGATTCCCGGCCATGGCCGCAGCGTGGAGTAGCTCATTGCGGTTCAAAGGCCGGCTGCATCCGCTGGCCGTCTCCAGCAGGCGGGCAAGCAAGTCAAGCGTCTCACTTGACTTCAACAAGCATCGTGCAAGGTGCGTAAGGAGCTGGTTTGCGTGCCTGGCGGAGAATGCAAAGGCAGCAATGAGGATTCCGGTCTACCACTTGTAAATTTGACGACCGCCAAAAAGAAGAAAATGCACATGCTATGAGGCAACAACTTGTGCGTGTGTGTTGTCGCATGGTGCTCCTCTTTCTCCCCAAACCTTGACAAAGCAGGAGGCTGCCACCATCTAATTAAACCACTAAAGTGGGGAATCTTCAATGTCGGGAATTCTAGGGATGCCTGACACCTCCTGGGTCCACTAAAGCCAGCAAGACACCAAGCCATCAATGATGACCCAACCCACTCATTGCCTGCATGACCTCCACCCAGCACGCCCTCCACACACCCTCCTGCTGAGGTACTGAGGCGCAACAGAGTGCACCTCCTGCTGGAGAGCCTGCAAGATGTGCCGCGGCCAAGAGCGCGTAGCTCTGCATGCCAACATCGCCTTTCCCGCCCAGCCACCGCAAGATGTAAAGGCTTCCAAGACCTCAGAGTCCGAGTTCTGCTGGTGGAACTTGGCAAGTGTAATGCAGGCAGCCTGCCAGACTGAAGGAGAAGGATCCTGAAGGAGCTTTGCAAGCTTTGGGCAGTGCTGGCCAAGCACTGGTGGTCTCCACAGGCCCATGATGGAACACGCCGCTGAAAGAACTTCTGGATTCTGATGGTCAAGGAGGCCTGGAATCCCAACAAAC